AGAGAGAGAGAGAGAGAGAGAGAGAGAGAGAGAGAGAGAGAGAACGGACCCCCTTAACACGGCTCAGACGGCCCATGCAGGCTATCTGAAGGGTCCTCGCAGCGATGTAGCGCAGACCCCCCCACCAAAATCGAGGCAGGCAGTGAATATGAAGTAGAGCACGAGCTGGCCGAATATATACTCAAGATTCGAATTCAGGTCTGTGTTTCAGCAGTTATGGGTTGCCCACGTAGCTAGGCCCTGTTGGTCTCTGCATGCGACTCTTAGGGCTTGGCTGCACTACTCACGAAATGTGCAAAATTAGAATGAATCTTCTGCAGAACGTGGAATAATACGCGACCATATGTTTTGTCTTTTGTGCGTTTGGTGAGTAGAGGCCCTTAGGGCCACTGCACGTATTCCTAAGAAAAGAAAAACGAGAAAACAGAGAAATAGTGACCCATAACCGAGATGCACAGACCTGAATTCGAATCCAGACTATATATTCTCTGCCCACCCTCACGGAGTAGTGTATCTATGCATGACGCCGGGTCCTAGCTAATATGCTGCAGGGATCCTTCCGAAAAGAGGCTGGACACAACTAGGACGTTTTTATTTTTCTAGCTTTTTAATGCGCCGCATCACTTGTGTGTGCGTGCATGCGCGTGTGGCACCCCCGCACATGAGACTCGCCGCAAGTATGATTTGAACACATCTCTCTCTCTCTCTCTCTCACACACACACACACACACACACACACACAAAGAGGGTCCGAAAGGGGGTCCGAAATCCCCCGACAGGTGAGTGCGCTGGGGGGGTCCGGCCCCCAACCGGGTGCCCTGCCCGGCCAGGCCGCCCGGGACGTCCCCCGGGCCCCTGCCAGTCACCCGTGCGGCCTGGATCCCCACTCAATTATAATCTATATTGATGGTGCCGACCTACCCACGACAAATATCAGGCCCGGTATGTCTAGAAGTAGGTAGGATTATAATTTGTATTGATGTTCCTGCCTCTTTTCTAAATCCGGTAGGCCGGGAGGTGTGGAATGTATGCCAAGGAAGTTGCCGGCCTGGAGACAGATTGGCTGCTGCACCAAGAGGTCCAGGCGGGGCAGCTGTTCATTTCAACACTGTCTGCAAGACATGCTGCTTCTCCACCAAGAGGGAGGTGTGGTGTAGCATGCTACAGTTGTAGGAGGAGCTGGAGGTTGAACAAGAAAACCTTCATGGCTATGGAGGTTGACCAGGAGGAAGAAGGAGAAGGGTTTGGCTGTGGTAGTCAGAGTTAGTCCCCACATGGGGCGTGCAGAAGAAGACTTCAGTTGACCAAGAGGAGGAAAAAGAAGAGAGAAACTGTGATGAAAACTTAGCTTTGGCTATGGGGGACCACCATCACTCCCATGTGCGGCGCTACATCAAGAAGATTGCTTTGGCTATGGGGGACCACCATCACTCCCATGTGCGGCGCTACATCAGTATCTACTATTTTCAAGTGGAGACTTCACTGAAGAATGTGGTGATGCTGCTCTGGAGGGGGAAGGAGAAGTTCTCCATTGTTTTCTTATGTACATCATGCTCAAGGGTTTTGATGGCACAGTGAAAATAGGGGCTGAATGGAGTTCATTCTTAAAAGCACAGTTCACTCGAGTCTAAGTCAAGCTCTTACCGGTATCCACGGTAAGTACTCTGGAACAATTTGAATTCCCAGTCGGAGGCTCGCGCGCCTTGGAAGGTAGCAGGTCAACTTAGGCTTGTGTGAACTGATGATTTACGGGCAGTTGCTGGGGAGATCACTCTGGCCGAAGTAGACGAAGCTACAATGATGGTACTGGACCTACCTCGGCCAATGTCAGGCCAGGTATGTGTGGAGGTAGGTAGGATTACAGAATACAATGGTGTTGAAACATCTTTCCAATACATGAAGGTGCGCAGGTAGGCCTAGGAAGTCACCAACCTAGAGACCCGGGCCATCGGCTCGTTACAACACTCTTTGGGAGACATGTTGCTACCCCACAAACAGGGAGATGTGGCAAAGCATGGTTAACGGCGAAGGAGGAACTCAAGGTTGAAGAAGGTCTCCATAGCTATGAAGGAGTACGAGGAAGAAGGAGAAAGGGTTTGGCTATGCTAATTGGGCTTAGTACCCACACTGGGCATGTAGACGAAGAGGAAGACTTCAGTTGACCAAGAGGAGGAAGGAGAAGAGGAAACCGTTTTCAAGATTTAGCTTTGGCTGTGATGGACTAAAATCTCCATTCC